AGATGCCATTTTCCGCCTATCACAAGGGCAAAACCCCCAAAGCATGATAATGTGTTTTGCTGGTGGGGCTGAGGGGCCCTGGGCAGTCTCGCCCATTGCTGGTAGGAGTGGAAATTGGTGCAAGCCTCACGGAGGATTATTTAGCAATGTTGATCAAAATTGCCCTTGCCTTTATTCCTTGACCCAGCAACACAGCTTCTCTGAATGTTCCCCATTGTCTGCATTATATTTGGCATGTTTTTTAAAAAATGTTCAAGGTTGCTCGCATGCAGCATTGTAGATAATGGCAGAATTTTGGAAACAAGCCATGCATCCACCAGGAGGCGCTGGTTTAATAAAATCTGGATCACCACATAAAAAAATAATACTCATAGCTTAGACATGTCTCTTACTTCATACCTGGAACTATTCTAATTATGCTACATATATTGACTCATAATAGCCAAATCAGATATATCCTCACAACCATATCATTTTATAGGTGAAGGAACTGAGGCCCAGAGAGGATCAGTACCTTGCCCAAGATCACACAGCTAGGCCAAGGCAAGCCAGGTCAGGCAGGAGGGATGGTGGCTTGAGGGCCGGGAGCAGGAACAACTCTGTGGTTGTAAAGTGAAAAAGTCCAAGAGTGCTGTTTGGAATACAGGAAAAACAAGTACAGGTGGGCAGAGGAACAGGAGGTGGTACAGTCGCCTTCTGATCACATTGGGGTCCCCAGGGAGATACTCATGGTTGGAATGGAAGAGGGAGTCTCAGTTCCCACCTCGTCCTCAGCTATCCCTGAACTCTCACCCGTGCGGTTGCGGTACCACCTCTCTAAGAATGAGGACACGCCCACCAAACTAATCCAGAAAAATCTCCAAGAACATATTAAAGCAAGATACTGAAAAGCAGGTAGAGTATACACCCTTTTATGTAAGAAAGGAGGAGAAACTAAAATAAATATTTACATTTGCACACACTTTAAGTGTTGGCATGAAAGTAATTCTATAAAGACATGTAAGAAACTGATAAATATACCCGGCCAGTGTGGCTCAGTGGTTGAGTATCAACCTATGAGCCAGGAGGTCACGGTTCAATTCCTGGTTAGGGCACATGCCTAGGTTGCAGGCTAGATCCCCAGTGAGGGAGGGCCTGCAGGAGACAGCAGATCGATGATTCTCACTCATCATTGATGTTTCTATCTCTTTCTCCCTCTCCCTTCCTCTCTGAAATCAATAAAAATAAAATTTTTAAAAGAAACTGATAAATATTATAAAGTTGGGAGATGGAAGTGGGGAGGGAATGGGACTAATTGGAGAGGGATAGGAGATATAAATGTATAAACTTTTGAAACATTAGCAACTGATTTGGAAGTTGCCAGAGAAGCTTACTGGTACTCAGGAAAGGCACCTGTCACCTGGTAAATGACAGGGCATGTGCCTTGCGCTTCGCCACAGTCCCCACCTTACCCTAATGTCTGCCTGATAAAGGACTCATCTAAACGGGACAGTCAATCTCAACTCCTGTCATTGGCAGCAGCTACACCTGACGGTGAGACCAAAGTGGCCAGGTTCCCTCATTTTTCAAGATGAGTGAAAAAGCCAGATGTGAAATCTTCCAGATTTTAAAAGTTGGCAAGGAGTTCATATTTCTGGAAAATGAAAACTGTAGTCTATATACAACTTCTGACCCAGAGAAATCCAGAATCTGTGCATCCTCGGGAAATCCTCCAGGGACTAGTCCTTGACTGAGTGGCAGCTTTGACAGCCTCCTAAGAACCAGCAGGGCAACTGTTTGATGTGCTGTTTGAAACCAGAGATGTGAAGGGGCAATAACAAAGGCTGGGGAGAGGCCTCCACGTCTGGTTGCTCAGGTGTGCACTGCACAAGTGCTCCCAACCACCAGAGGGAAGGATGCTGAAGTGCAGCCACTGATGGAGAACCTCCTGATGGATGGACCAAGCTGATAACACCAGAACCCCTATCGAATTCAACATCACCAACAGAGACACCCAGACACAACGATGTGCCGCCCAGTGAGGAGGCCACAGGAAACACCCAGCACCGCTGAAGAATTATTCTTGCAAAAACAAATCCACCAAAACCAAATCTGAGTAACCCTCCCCTAGACCAGGGATCATCAAACTGTGGTCTCCCAGCCAAATCCGGCCCTCCACCTGACCTGTAAATAAAGTTTCACTGAGTCCCAGACACGCCTATCTGTTTACCTGTTGCTTGTGGCTGCTCCCACACCTCAATGGCAGAGTTTAAACTGTATGAACTGCAAAACACAGAAGTTTCACCAACCCCTGTGCTAGATGTAGGCAGTTCACAGGAAATACAGAGAAGAGGGGAGCGTGCTAAAACAACATCACGGGGGATGCAACCAGCAAAATCCAAAGTGTGGACGGATCTTCCATAAATAAGTGGCCGGTGTGGCTACGTGATTAGAGCCTGGCCCAAGCACCAAAGGATCATGGGCCCAATTCCCATTCAAGGGCACGTACCTGGATTGCAGGTTTGATCTCTGGTCCCTGTTGGGGCACATGAGGAAGCAACCTCTCTTTCTCTCTCTCTCTCTCTCTCTCTCTCTCTCTCTCTCTCTCTTTCTCTCTCTCTCTCTCTTTTCCTCCCTCCTTTCTACCATCTCTAAAAAAAAATCAATGGGAAAAATTAAAAATAAATAAAAATAAGTGGCAAGAGAACAAAAACAAGGAGACAGAAATATTACAGATTCCAAGACATATCAGCTAACCAGGGAAATGGGGAAAATGACTACATATGTGACAATATCAAGAAATTCTAGTCATTTCTGTAATATGTTACAATGGCGTTGTGATGGTAGTTTTTAATGAACTCTATCTCTCAGACAGATATGCTGTAATTTTAACAGGTACGAAGATACGATGCCTAGAATCTGCTTTAAAGTGATCCAGCGAAGCGCAGCCAGTGGGCGGGGGTATAAAGAAATCAGACTGGCCACATACTGATCATTATTAAAGTTAGGAAATTGGTACGTGAAGGTTGCTTTATGACTCTCTCCAATTTTGTGTAAGTTTGAACATTTTCATGCTAAAAAAGTTTTTTGGAAAATTAAAAAAATTGAACCTACGTTCTCCTACACATGTTCCCCAGGACAGACTGTGTCCAGCTGTGGGGTGGAAGATCTGAAGGCATCTCCACCAGCCAGGCCATTTGTCCTGAATTACAGCCCCCCCCCACACACACACACACTCCCCACTGCATATCCATCAGGGCACCTGGGCTTTGGCACACCTCTCCTTGGAATGATGGGATGGGGGGGGGTGTATCTGACCACTGAGGCTGGTAAGTCCCCCCAACTCAATCTAGTTTGTTATTGATTTGTTGTTGTTGTTAATCCTCACCCAAGGATATTTTTCATTGATTTTTAGGGAGAGTAAACGTGAGAGGGAAAGACAGACAGAAACATCAGTGTGAGAGAAACATATCGATTGGTTGTCTCCTGCAGGAGCCCTGACCAGGGCCTGGGCTGGGGAGGAGGCTGCAACCACGGTATGTGCCTTTGACAGGAATCGAACCTGGGACCCTTTGGTGCACAACACTCTATCCACTGAGCCAAACAGGCTAGGGCTCAGTCTGGTTCTTAACCAACTCCATGTGACATTGTAGAATCTGCCTCAAGTCCTCTTGTGGAATCAGCAGTGACCACAAAGGAACCCAACTTGTCCCACGCGTTCATTTAGACCAGCGGTTCTCAACCTTCCTAATGCCACGACCCTTTAATACAGTTCCTCATGCTGTGGTGACCCCCAACCATAAAATTATTTTCATTGCTACTTCATAACTGTAATTTTGCTACTGTTATGAATCGTCATGTAAATATCTGATATGCAGGATGTATTTTCATTGTTACAAATTGAACATAATGAAAGCATAGTGATTAATCACAAAAACAATATGTAATTATATATGTGTTTTCCGATGGTCTATTTTGGTTGTCTAGGATGGGGTCTGCATTGGCATCTTATTAAGTTCCCCAGAGCACTGATGGGCAGACGGCTTGGAGAAGCATGGGTATTCATGCTCCGTTACTAGTACTTCCATTCCTCTAATACCTAAGAGTTTCATACCTGTAGTCCTTTGGGTACCAAGCTCCCTCCATCATGGAAACCCTTTCTCTCCCTGAGTGTTTGACACACACCAACCTACATCAAGAATCATACAACTTCTAAATTCTTTTCTAACATTTCTCACTAGAATTAACCAGTTCCTCCTGGCTGGAGTCCTTCGGTACCCTGATCTTATCAGGGCTGCCTCCCACCTCAAGCCTTTTGAGAGAGGGATTGCATATTTTCTTTGCTGTTGGTGCCCTACCCTCCCCCCCTCCCGCCCCCCATGTCTAGAACAGTTGCAAACAGGAACCCCTCGGTGGAGAGTCATCTCATTAAGCATACCTAAGACACTCTTATCTCTTGAAATCTCAATGGTTCTAAGGAGTCTGTTCTGGCAGCTGGGGACAAAGCTCCAATATTTTGTATTATATCCTGGGCTGGTGACTTCATTTCAGCCCCTGGATACAGCCATTCCTGAAAACTACTTTTAAATCACTCAAGTCAGTAAAGTCCACCACCACCCTTTTAAAGAACAGAGTCAGCTGTCACTGTGTTTCTATCTCTTACAACTAAAAGAATGCTGACTAATCCTCCCAGGCTATCGCATCCATCTGGGAGGGTCTCCCCCAGACCTACACATTTACCAGCCTGATAAACTTGGGCTCCTCACTTCTGACTCAATGCTTCCTCCGCTGGAAAGGATTCCCTGATTTCACAGAGCAAACCCAGGCGTTCCCAGAGCACTCTGACCGTTTCTCCCGGCAGCACTCTAACACCGTGGTGACGGCTGATCTGCACGTCAGCTGCTTCGACCTTTTCCTGTTTGTGTTCCCAGCGCTGACCCCAGCAGCCCCCAGGAAATAGCTGTTGTGTTGAATGAATGAGTAAGTGAATGATTAAATAGGACAGTGTCGCCTTCCTCTGACAATGGGTTTATTTTTAAAAAGGATACGAAAAACAAAAGGCTGTACCACCGAGAATGGCTGGAGGGCTGGTGCGTCCGTCTCTCCTCTGATTACATAGCAGGCAAGGTGTGTGGGCAGGAAACAGAGGGACCTCGGAGACAGGCAGATAAAGGAGTGGGTGGCTCTTGGCAGCAGCAGGCCTTTCTCTCATCTCCTGCCATGGGGCCAGCCCCTGCCCTCAGTGCCCACCTGCCATGCGGAACCTCTCTGGATCCCCATAAACAATGAGAAATAATTTGTCTGGGGAGAGGGTGGGGGAATAGGATGGGCAAAGGGAGGAAGATGTGTCCGTTTCATTCCAGCTGGCTCTTCACCATTGCTCCCTGAGCTAGCCAAACGCATCTTCTAATTTAGTTCATTCTTCTCTTCCCCATCACTGGTAATGGACCCACAGAGAACACTGTCAGAATCCAACCACTCTTCTTCCCTAGAAGAAAGGGAAAGGAGAAGGCATGCAAGAAAGAAATTGACAGAGGAAGAAAAGAAGGGAAGAGATAAAGGAGAAATGATCATAGCAATAGCTAACACATACAGCTCTTCCTGTGTGCCAGGCTCTTAGCTGAAGACTTGGCATACACTTACTAGGCTCATCCTCCTCGAAACTGTATGAGGAAGGTTCTAGTGTGTATCCCCACTTTACAATGAAAAGGGGGTAGAAAAATAAAACAGAAAATAGATATATTTTCAGATAAGGGCACTGACGAGATCCAAGCCCAGGGACACAGATTAGCACAAGAAGGTGCTCACTGCCCGGCTGGTGTGGCTCAGTAGTTGAGTATCAACTTATGAACCAGGAGGTCACGGTTCGATTCCCAATCAGGGCACAGGCCTGAGTTGCGGGCTCGACCCCCAGTGTGGGGCATGCAGGAGGCAGCCGTTCAATGATTCCCTCTCATCACTGAAGTTTCCATCTTTCTCTCCCTCTCCCTTTCTCACTGAAATTAATAAAAATGTTTTATTAAAAAAAGATGCTCACTAAACACTGTGGAATGAAGGTCCACTAGAAACCCTAGCCCGCATGGTAAAGACAATACCATCGTCCCTTGTTAAGTGGGGAAAAAACATGTTTGAAAGCAAAAGGTATGTAGGAAACTAATTTCTTACCTTAGTTTATAAATAGGAAAGATACTGAAAGACCATCCCCAGCATTAATGGGAATTATCTTGGGAGGAAATAAGGGGTAAATTCAGACATTTCAAAACATTGATTTTTTTTTTAAACGATAAGAATGTACTGATTTCATAGTAAAACATGTTAGGGTTGGGGAGAGAAAGCATGTGCAAGACTTTTTGCTTTCCTGAGCACAAGACCATCACAGCCAGATTTTTAACAATTTTGGACCAAGCGATTGAGGGTGAAGCTGGGCTTTTATATTAAACTTGGCCTTGAAGGAGCTCTGGAATTTTTCCATTGAAAGACTTAGGAGCACCAATTGGATTGGCATTTGGGACTGGGGTTGTGTCTTGAAGGCACATTTGTACAATTCCAGTGTTTTTACTTGTATAAGTTATAAAATGCTACAAAGCAAATTACCCCAACAACTCAGCAATGTAAAACAACAAACAGGTATAGTTTGTTGGCATGGCTTAGTGGGTGCCTCTACCTCAAGCTCTCTCATGGGCCTACTATCAAGATGTCATGCCCTAGCCAGTTTTGCTCAGTGATTAGCGCATTGGCCCGCCGACTGAAGGGTTGTAGGTTCAATTTTGGTTAAGGGCACATTCCTTGGTTTCAGGCTCAATCCCCAGCCCTGGGCTGAGGCACATGCAGGGAGGCAACCAATTGATGTGTCTCTCTCACATCGATGTTTCTCTGTCTCTGTCTCTCTCCCTCCCTACTACTCTCTCTAAAAATCAATGGAAAAAAATATCCTCAGGTGAGAATTAACAACAACAAAAAGATGTTGTCATTACGGGGTGTGGTTTCATCTGAAAGCTCAACTGAGGAAGGACCTGCTTCTGAGCTCACTGATATGGTTGTTGACAAGATTCACTTCCTCTCCATTCGGCAGCTCACTACATCATCAGTGCCCACAAATAAGAGTGAATAAAAGCAGAGCAAGATAGAAGTCACAGTCTTTTCATAACCCAATCAGGAAGTGATATCCCATCACTTTGCAGTATTCTAGTTGTTCGAAGTGAATCTTTAGGTCCAGCATACACTCAAGGGATGGCAGTTACACAAGAGCATGAAGACCAAGAGGTGGGATCACTGGGACCATCTCAGAAATCACCACATTGGACCGAGAGGCTGTAAGGCTTAACGGACAAACCCAGAGCCAGAATGCCTGGGTTTCATTCCCAACTCTGCCAACTCCAGTTGTGTGACTTTAGGCAAGTCACCTAACTCTGTATATACCTCATTTTCCTCATCTGGAAAGTGGGCATGATCCTGGTATCTACCTCGCAGGGTTGTGCAGGGATTAAAAGAGCGGATATATGCAAGGCACTCAGACCAGTGTCTGGTACACAGTAAGCACTATGTAAATGCATGCTATTGTTGTCGTAAGTCACGCATCAATAAAATATCAAGCTTTCCTGGAGATGCTTTAATTCACACTTACAACTAGGAAAATGGCAATTGTCTATGACAAAGAATAAGAACACAGTAAGGGTTTCTGTTTATTGCAAGTTCAAGAATAGGTAAAACTAATCAATGGTGATAGAATACTGGGGTACAGACTGAGAAGGGGCACCAAGCAATCTTGTAGAGGGTTGTTCTTCTAAATATAATATAGATATATAATACTCTCTCTAAAAATCAATGGAAAAAAATGACCAGGAGTTCGATCGCTTGCTATGATGTGCGCTGACCGCTAGGGGGTGGCACGGAGTGAAGGAAGGCCCCGGCCAGCAGCTGGCAGCCAGGGAAAGAAGGCCCTAGCCAGCAGCCGGAAGGCCCCAATCAGCCCTGATCACCAGCCAGGCCTAGGGACCCTACCCATGCACAGATTTCATGCACTGGGCCTCTAGTGTTCATATAGTTCTATACCTCAGTAAAAATTCCTCGAGCTATGAACTTAAAGTATATCTCACCCAATTTGCATCTTACACATCTCACCCAATTTGCATCTTATACCTCAATTTAAAAAAAACTTTTAAAATGTAAAAAAAAACACCAATTATAAGAGAGCTGCTGCTGTTAATAACTAAGAGGGCTGCTGTTGAAAACGGTAGGGGATGGAAGGCCCAGGTTGAACCACGGCCCCAGGTTGCTGGTCCCCCTTAGGAGGAAGGAGTTAGTCCATCTCTGCCAGCTCCCTTTGCCATGACAACAGGAGGGCAGAGCACTTAGAGACACTGCCCTCAGCACTTTTTAATCTGAGAGCTTTGGAAAAAGGCTCAGAGTCGGGGGAGGAAGAGGACAGCACGGGAGAACTGGCTGGCAAGATGCTTGGGTGGTGGAAAAAAAAATGCTTCCAAGGCAAAAAGGATTAAGAACCAGCTCTTCTGGGCTCTGGATGCATTCATTGCCTCGCAGGCTGGAGACATTCCCACCCATCCCTGCCTCCTTTGGAGAAGAGAGGGGGCGCGATGCTTAAGGTTCACCAAGAACCCTCTTCTCCCCCACCCAGAAAACAGGAGAAGAGATCTCACTTTTAAAATGTTTTAAAACCTTCTAAAGAATATATAGCCAGAAAGTGTTCCCAAGAAAATTTGGTACAAATAGTAGGTCAACCTAAGTGAAGAGAAACATGCATATAGCCCTGGCCGGTTGGCTCAACAGATAGAGCATTGGCCTGCCTACTGAAGGGTCCCAAGTTCAATTCCGGCCAGGGGCACATGCCTGGGTTGTGGGCTCAATCCCCAGTGTGGGGCGTGCAGGAGGCAGCTGATCCATGGTTCTCTCTCATCACTGATGTTTCTATCTCTCTCCCCCACTCCCTTCCTCTCTGAAGTCAATAAAAAAAAAGTTTTTAAAAAATGCATATATTTGGTTTCTGAGACTGGTTAGCAGGCTTGAGTGGGGGCAGGCACCCTAAGGTCCAGGTGATTAGTCCATAGAGTGTCATCTAAACAGAATAAAAGTCAGATGTCTCTGTGCTGCACTGTTCAAGTGCTATAGCACCAAGATTTCAGGGGTGGGAACTGGCTTTGTTTCTGGGAATGAGCCGGAAAGGAACTTTGAGGTTCACCCAGGAAGAAAGTCATGACTGACCATGACGTTATCTGCCAGTGAATAATGCACTTTATGAATAAGGGCGTCAAGTTTTCATTCTCAGTTCATCACCTTTGTGGAAGAGATTACTCACGTCCGCCAACATCCTGGCACGAGGATGGACTACATTTCCCAGTGGCCTTGCAATTCAGGGCAGTCATGGGCCAGTGAAATGAGAGCCCAAGTTTCAGTGCCTATTCTGACCTTAAGGAAAGCGACATCGCTTCACATTTTGTATAATCCAAATGAGCCAGCAAATGATGATACCCCGAGGGTGGTATTGTGGGTTAGGTTCCCCAAATGGAGACCCTGAGACAAGGACTCAAGTGTAAGCATTTACTTGTGAAGTGACCCCAGAAAACACCAGTAGGGTGGGGGAGGGAGACAGAGTAGGGAAGACAGCCAGTTACCACAATGGGCACCTGGGATTCAATCCTACTGGAGAGTTCTGGAAGGCAGCACAGAACACACACCTCGGAGCCATCCTACCCAAAGGGGAGGGAGTTGGGGCATTTATCCACGAAGCCTCAGCAGTCATTGATTGGGGCTGTTCCCCGGAGGGGTGAGCTCCCAGCACTGTAGGCCTGCCTTGCTTGCACACACAGCAAACCCCAGCTGCCAGGAAAGGCTCTCAGGCAGGGAGACGCAGTACTGTCCACGGAGAATGAGGCGAGCAGGTCCAGAAACGGTAAGTGCCAGGGGGTGTGGGTGGAACATCCATAGTGTCTGCAACAGGGGCAGAGCCACACAACAGAAGGAACCTGGGACCCTGAGTGACTGCCTGGAGCAGAGCTCACCATCAACCTGGTCTGTGCACCTTGGACTGTGACAAATGAGACCAACAAACTGCTGCCCTCTCTAAGGCGTTGAATTCGTGTTAGGCCTCTTTGTTACAGCAGCCTGGTCTTTCCTAATGAACGTAACAGCCTTCTTTCCATTGAGCTTGGGAGCTACAGCTTCAGAGACCATAGCACCCAACATTGAGGGAGGACCTGTGGTTTTCCATGCCCTATCTCACTAACTATCCACAAGAACCCTAAGCCAGATGCTATGGGTGTACCCACGACACTTCCCCAACAAGTTCTGAGGGAGGGTGAACAGCCAGAAGGGCTGGGGAGTTATCCTGAGAAGCGATGAATGTCCTCAACCTCTGAGAACTGGTGGAAAGCGAGCTCGCTGCTGTCCCCAGAGGTCCCAGGTGGAACTGAGCGCCGGTTGCCCACAGTAGTAACCGGCTTGACATTCCCTTCACTTGCTGACTCCCCTCCG